AAATTTTTTGAACCGGTTCATTGAAGCAAATCACCCAAACGAACTGATTCACTAAAATGACTGTGCATTTGCTAGTTATACAACAGAAACATATTGGACTGGCTGCATGGATGTGGAACTTTTCACTGCAATTTCTCAGCGGTTTATGAAGGTTATGCTAACATTGTACGGCAGTAGGTCTTCTACTTATGCCTGCGGGGATATATGACATCAAAGGAGGTGATTCTTTGACCCTCATGACCCATGAGACACACACACTCACGCTTCAAGCCATCCAGAGCACATGTTCCTCTGCCTGATATAGAAACGGTGTCAAATTATAAGCCTGAAACATTGACTATTCTTCCTTATCGCTCTCTGTATTACTTCTCCAGATTAGTTTCTGCTTTTCTCTGGCCAGGTTTCTCTCATTCATGCATCTCAAACGACAAAAACGAGGTGTAAGTGTGTGTCTGTGTGCACTTTCCTCATTGTATTCCAGTCTTTTTCTGTACAAGTCTGCCCTAGATTCCCAGCTAGATCCTCTGATATGCAATGAAATGTGAATTGTAGATACAGTGGCCCTAAAATGTGTTTGGACAGTTTTAAAAATGCATAAATGTCATTGCAAAATATCAAACCGAGTGGCATTTATTTACATTTGGAAGAAATTCAATTCAGTTTCTGCCACTGATTGACATTTAATTTTATTTCATCAGTAAACATGAAATTTGACTCGGCTGCGTGTGAATATTTTTGCCAGCCCTTTGAACTCATAATATTTGTGATTTATTGTCTGATCGTACACAAATTCATCTTCATCTTCTGCTGCTGATGGCCACTTCAGATGAATCTGAGAAAACGCCTCTGTTGCAATAATAATTAATTAAAGAAATGTGTGTAAGTATGCTGTGTGTGTGAAAAAGCATCACTAGAATGCTATTATAAGACTTTTCAATTTAAAATAAATATGTATTTTTAGCTAGATGTTTTCTTGATATCTAACAAAAAGTAGCAAATATACCATGGTTTTACCATGCTATGACATGTGCTATAGTAAAACCATGTTTTTGGACACACATTGTGGTGTATTAAACATGTACCATTTTATATATCAAAGTACCATTTTATTAGCATCTAATACCATCATTTTACCATCATTAAAACCATAGTATTTTTCATAAGAGGTCTTAAAAAACTTCCAGTGTTTCCAGTCTGTCGGGAAGTGAGCAAATCCAAACACGGATACAGCACTTCCCTTCAGCTGAATCGCACAGGATGCAGGAAGTCATCTGATGAGGTCATATCCTGTCACTGATGTGTAACCTCAGGTGTTGTATATTTCCGATAGGAAAACTATAAGTGGGAGATTAAAAACAAGGATTTGCCTGTGTAAGGTCGTAATTTATAAGAATTTTAATGTTGGGGAAGTTACACTGAAACTAATAAATTAAGAAACAAGCTACTTATAATTTAAATAAATGTATGCATTTAATTTGAAAAAAAAAACTTTATACTGTAAAAAATTGTAAATAAAGATTATTGGATTATGTTTTACAAGAAAATACTATTGTAGTCTTACTACTTTAAAATTTCATGTTTAATTCAATGTGTTACTTGCGATGTCTATTTGTGTCATTTGCTAGCTGTTTCTGAGCGAAATTTTTCTTTTTTTGTGAACAAACTTCTAGCATAAGTAGCTAAAGATATTTAGAAATTTGTCTCTGATACTTTACATTATTATTAGTTCGTAGCTTAGCAAACTACTGTTAAACTACTACTACAAACTACTGTTAAACTACCCATTAAAAACTGTAGTTAACTACACTACAAGCTGCTAACAAAAGTATAATAATATTTATAAATCAGTTTTGGGGAAACTTCCTAAAATTATTAGTTTTAGCTTAGCAATTACAAATAGCAAATAGTTAGCATTTAACTAAAACATTAGTTATACGGTTACGTTTACACAACAATGTACTAAAAATTAAAAACATTTTCCTTTGCATTTTTTAAACGTTTTGCGTACAGACAACGTTGTCAAAACATTTGCAAAAGTTTGTTTTCAGGCCCCCGAAACGCTGTTGTTGTGTAAATGAACAGCCAAAAAAAAAAAAAGTTTTCCATTTTTTGATGAAAACTGTGTTGTGTAAACGTACCCCAAGTTACTAACTTAGCTAAACTAATCTAGCACAAAATATTAAGGATTTGAATTAGGGTGACAGCATTAAACTTAGACTTATAAACATACAAACTTACACTAATTACAACAGCTTATTGCATTTATTGTGATTTTTCTTGTTTTATTTGAAAACATGGAAAAACATCAGAAATATTTGGCTTTCCACACAGGAAATGTATCAGTGAAGCATTTATTTAATATTTTAATAATTTATTTGATGATTTCCTCAGGTCATTTGGCATTAAAAATTCCACAGCTTGCTTCACATAATTGGTTATTTAAAAAAAAAAAAAACTATAATTGGTTGTGATTGCATCACATTGTGCAGCAGTTTTGCACTCTGTGGAAGGAAGTCTGTTTTCAATCGCAAACCACAAAATCTCAGTGTACATCTCGTATGGTTTATTAGAGATTGATACATCAGCCAGGCTAGTAAATCTGGGTTTTGCACTAACCTCAAGATAACCTGCCAATAATCTCAAAACAGCCAAATATTGTCAGATTAATCGCCTGATATATCCATCGCTAATAACCCCGCAAAAATGTTGTGGTTTGTTTACTTCTTTGCGATTAAAAACAGGCTTTTCTAGCTGAATGGAAGAAAAATATACGTATTTTTTTCTCAGCTGGGGATATGAATATATGTGTGTGCGTGTGTGTGTAGTAAATCAGCTCAAAAGGGAAATATTTATGACTAATTATAACTGGTTATGATTAATAATAAATATTTTCATGCATGATTCTACGCAGACGCTACATGTGTTAAAGGAAGCGACCGTCCCTTTCACGACCCCACCAGACGGAAAAACACACTCAGACTAGGTTGTCAAGGAAACAAACTTGTCACGTCTTCATTACTTTTAATTGTTTTTCTTCTTGATGGACTGTACGTGCTATGATTTAATGTTTCAATAATCAAAACCATCAGGCACAATTACAACACACAAATGTACAAGCTGTTTTATTCTGGGTTTTGCTGTCCAGCTGGACTCTTCTCTCTGTGTGTGTGTGTGTGTGTATCTTTTATTTGGATGCGTTTATTGGGCTCCACCTCGTCTTGCCAATATTTTGACCTAAAACTTTGGCCTCATGCAGTCGGTTCTGAAGTCATGGAGTTACACCCAGTCTTTACACACATGCATTGGCTCGTTTCACGACATATCGAATTGTTTGCTTTGCATCCTTTTCGCAGGTTTCCGAGAAACATCTTTTTTTTTTCCTGCTACCCCAAATTCAGTCTTTACTTGTAGGATTGCTCTGAGGAACATCAAGAAATACGTGCACACATGCATTCCCTGAAATAGCTATATGTGTGCAAAAAATGCAGTTATAGTTATTTGGAGTTAGAGTTATTTCCGGTAACTTATTGATTTAGAACATCCTACAACAAGAAACATGGATGCCAGTTTAAATCATGAAGTTTTTACAGTTTTTGACAACAGAAAAATTAGCAACCTCATATGTTTTAACTAGAGATCAACTGATATTTTGACTGATCTTGTAAGTAACTTTAAGTATCCGTTTTGCAAAATTCAGAACCTGTTTTTGTTTTGTTTATGCTTTTTTTGATACAATAATATACAACGGTAATATTACTGTTGTTTTTATTTATATTTATGCAGTTTTTTTGTGATCTAAATTGTCAAATTTATTTTTAATTTTGAAGTAACAATAAGTTGAAATCAATTACCAATTTATTATTTTTAAAAATGAATGTAAATAGATAAATCACTTTATCACAAATAATTAGGTATATTTAAAACTGCTTAATGTTTTACAGTGCAGTTAAATGTTATAAGAAAATTACTTCAAATTGACAATTGCACATTTAAAACTTCTAAAATAATTGGACATATTTAAAATGTATTTTTACATATTTAATATCTTAATTTTTTATTTAGTTATTTATGCCATTATATTTATTCAGTCATTTTGTGATTTAAATGGTCAAATTTACTTTTATTTTTGTAATAAAAAGTAATATGAGTGCCACTTAATAAATGGAAGAAATCACTTTTTGAAATGTACAAATAAACAGACATATTTAAAGTTGCTTATTTAAATAGTTTTAAAACCGTTAAATGTAACAATAAAATAAATTTATTCAAATTGACAAATAATTAGACATTTAATATAGATATTTGATTAATTTCAATTTATCATTTTTATTTAATTTTATTTTTAAGTGGTACTCCTAGCTTTCCATAGTCTACAATTACAAATTTAAACCTGATAATTAATTGATTTCTTCATTTTAAAGTGGTACTTTATAGACATAGTTAAGCTAATTAAGTAAAAAAAAAAACACTTAAAGTTTTAAGAAGATAGGAAATTATCCAAATAATACTTTAAATAAGTTTCTGTAACTATGAATATTGTTGTTCAGTGATTTTCTTTAGAAACCCACCAAAATGTCTCCATTTATCGGAAGAACCGATATTAAAGAACCGATTATATTGAACATTTTGGTAGCGCTTTATTTTAATGTCCAATTCTCGCTATTAATAAACTAGCTGCGACTAGCTGCCTCAATAAACTCCTAATTTGCTGCTTATTAGTAGTTAGTAAGGTAGTTGTTAAGTTTAGGTATTGGGTAGGATTAGGGATGTAGAATATGGTCATGCAGAATAAGTGCTTTATAAGTACTAATAAACCGCCAATATGTTAATAATAGGCATGCTAATAAGCAACTAGTTAGTAGTGAGAATTGGTCCCTATACTAAGGTGTTACCAAAATTTTTGGTAAAATGGCCATTGACGGCCATTCTCTACAGTATGAAGAATTAATGTAAATGTGATCATCATACCTGTAAATAGCCAAACTTTTTATACTCAACAGGGTAATTCACTCAGAAAAGGAGTGACATCTGGATTTAGACGCAGTGTGAACATGTCTATGGAGTTGTTACATCTGCGAAAAGTCAACGTTAAGAGGTCCTACTATCGCACAGGGTAATCTAGAAACAATTACTTGAAACGGTGAGTCAGTGTTTCAATCCTAACATGAGATTTCCTGAAAAGAGCAGGAATGTTGATGACTTCTGGATACATCTAAAGGAAATTAAGGTTTTCCTTCGTGTGAGGAGTGTTTGAGTAGCCAAACCCTTGGCTCAATTTTTCCAACACCTCATAAAGCATGAGCTATGCATGTGCGTGAGGGCTGAAATGATTCATGGCACCATAGAAACACAACTCACGGCTTCCTGCAGCACATATGGAGACGGTAAGGTCTGCCTGTGATCTCATATCAAAAACACCGTTAGGACTCTGAAGTTCAACCTGCTCTCTAGAGGACACATTCATCTCAGGATTTTCTTAAAGGTTTAGTTCACCTCTCACCCTCGTGATGCTCCAGACCTGTGAGACTGACTTTCTTCTGCTGAGAAGAGAAAGAGAATTTTTGAAGAACGTTGTTGTTCATGCTGTTATTTTTTATGCAACAGAAGCATAGTGTGACAGTCAAGCTTGAAAAATGAATATCTGAATGAAAAAAGTAGAAACAATTTTCACTCTGAAATTGCTAGTAAATTTCACAAACAATTTCAGAGAAATGGCAAGTAACATTGAATTAAACATGACATTTTGTGTTACAGGCAAACAGTGTTTTTCCGGGTTGATTGCCATAGTGGTTTGACGCTCATCCTGGTTCTGAGCACTTCTTTGCCCTGACGGACAGAACAAGGAGAGAGCGCGAGGTTTTTAGCTTATGATTTTCCATAAGCCTTTTCTTGTCACCGCTGCATTATACAATCCAACCCACAATCCTCAGCTAAGCACTGCTGACAAGCACCTCAGCTTTAGAAGATGAAAGAACCAAATATTGCAATGCTCTCCCCCGTCTCTATCATAAAAGCATTGGGGCGATATTACCATGCTGATGTGACTGCATAATCCGCGTGTCAGCAGTTCAGCCTCATTCAGAGTGCAAAGAAAACAAGAATGTGCCAAATTGGTTAAAAGGCAATCAGTGCATCAGTGAGGGAATGAAATCAACAGCGCTGGCAGTGAAGATAGGCCTAGTTTGCGTTATTGTGGTGTCGTAGTTCATAAACCTGGATTACTTGTTTATTTGTAAACACATTTCACTTTTATAATGCAGTGTATTTTTAAGTGTAAAAATAATAGTCTGTGAAATAATGTGGGCGGGTCTTGTTTTTGTAGATTGGATTTGATTGGATCATGAAAATCAGGCTATGCTTATTAATTGTATTAATAATAATATTTTTTATATATTTTTCCCACTCGCAAAACGGTCAGTTTTGATAGTCTATTATCAATTTTGATAGTCAATTTTGATAGTCTATTATGTGTTTGAGAACACACAGAAATGAACACATTCTGAACTGTACTGTATGTCAACAGCAAGTCTCGCCTGTGGCTTCAACAATTCTGAAGCGCTCGACTCGTCAGCCAATAGGGTGTCAGCATTCCTCCTAATTCATCAGCTACTGACCAATGAGAGTCCAGAGTCCTGTCATAAACCCACCCACAGCCACTGCAGCTCTGGCTCAGGGGCGTCACACATTATTTGTAATGTTTACTCAGACTGACAGAATCATCTATAGCAAACCAATCTGGAAGCAACCTGCAGTGACTGAAGTGGAACTGGATAAGAGATGACATTTTCTTCAAAATATCACATTTATGACATATCTGGGCCGGAATGCCACAACTTTATACCCTGGAAAAAAGTGAACTGCCTATTGTGTGACATCTCTGAACATCAGCAGCGTCAAGGGTGGCCTTCTTTCTCTGAGACCAAATCATTTCTATATAGACTCCATTCGATATGCGATTTGTGCTAAATTATGTGCGGGAATCTGTCAGGATTGTGTCTGGATCATATTTCAAACCAAAATCAAAAGTTTAGCAATATACTGAAATATACTATAGGATCATTTGCATCTCCCATACAAAAGAAAGCCACTTTTGTTGAAGCAAGATGTGTTTTCTTTGTGTTTATGTAAATTTATGGACGTGGCATGAATAAAATAATATAAACATCTAATGAAAAGGTTTACATCATTATAGATTTGCATTTGGAGAAAGTGAGAGGTTGTATATTCATCCTACAATGTCCTCTGCTGGGGTCTATTATAGCATGGCAGTTGTGATGATGAAAATAAGATGATGATGATGATGATTGCTCTACATGGTCATATAGTGATGCATATTTTAGTGGAAAAATGTTTCTCGAAAATTGTCTCCTCTGCTTTTTACATTGCCTGTGCTGTCATCTAATTCTACACTAATAAAATAAATTCAAAAATGCTGTGAAAAGTAATCTCAAAATGAATATCTATTCACTTGTAGCATGTGTGGGGGAAAAAAATCGATTTTTATATATGTATATATTAGTTATTTAAAGTCTAGAATTATTATATGTATTTTCATATTTAATTTCAATATTGGTTTCAGCCATAATATTAATATTGGTGCATCCATAAAAACAAATCCTATTATTATTATAATGAAGTTATCACACTACCTGAGCCATATTTAGTGTTATTTACGACAAAAATAAAATAAATGTTGCATTGTAAAATGTGTACAACGTAATCATAAACATTCTCGACTGGATTAGATTTCTGAAAGGATGCCGTTAGCTGAAAAACAGTAGGTAATTCACTTCAGTTTTTACGAAGTAAGCAAAAAAGCAAAAAAACAGGCGCTTTTTACTCGGACAGGCTTTAATAAATCACCTGTAAAACACAGTTTACCTGATTTCCTCTGGGAAAATGAGACAGAATAGGTCTTGCCCAAAAGATCTGATTACAACCATGTGCTTTACGTCATGTTTTTGGTCTCCTCCAGGTTGTGTTTGGACCGCTGCCCTCAGTGGAGGTGTAATCATTCACTGTACAGTGCAGACGTCAGCTTTACTGGAACCAGATGGAGAGACCGAGCCTGTGTTTACCTGGACCAGCGGACACCTATATGACCGTCCCAAACCAACATGTGAAATCTGACCTTAGGCCAGCCAGAGAGGCTGTTCTCCATCCAGATGTTCAGACAGACCGGAGGAGCTGAAGTATGTGCGCACACTTACACACTTACAGATGGATATACATATATATATACACACGTTTGTAAAGCGGATCAGGTTATATACACATTTCTCTAAGGTCTGGCTTTGGGCCAGCTGTCTGCAGAACTGCACGTGATTAACTACAAGCAAAACAAGAAAGAAAGCAAAAGAGAGAGAGATATTTATGTCTCCAAAGCAGCTGTAAAGCCTCTGTTGAGCTGTTTTCCTTTCAATGTGAAACGGCCCCCTCAGCGCAAAGCCTCAACAATACCCACCCTGCTGTGCTGCTCGACACCTTTAAGATTGCCTACACACTCCAATATTATTATAGTTTTTATACACAGGGTTATTATAGTTTTTATACAGTTTTTTTATGTATAATATTCATATATATATACAGCACCTAAAATATATATATGTACAGAGCTCCTGTTCCACAAGATTGTAAATATGAGGAATGTGAGGATTATAAATATGAAGGCTAAATTCCCTTAATCATCCATCACAAGGAGTAAAACCAAAGAATATAGTTCTGATGTGCAGAACAAGATTGTTGAGCTTCACAAAATAGAAAGTGGCTGTAAGAAAACAGCTAGAGCATTGAAACATTCTGATTTCCACCATCAGGGCAATAATTAAGAAATTCCAATCAACTAAAGATGTTACAAATCTGCCTGGAAGAGGACGTGTGTCGATATCGTCATAATGCACGGTGAGGAGGAGACTTTGAGTGGCCAAAGACTCTCCCAGGATCACAGCTCACACTTACACACTTACAGATGGATATACATATATATACACACGTTTGTAAAGCGGATCAGGTTACATACACATTTCTCTAAGGTCTGGCTTTGGGCCAGCTGTCTGCAGAACTGCACGTGATTAACTACAAGCAAAACAAGAAAGAAAGCAAAAGAGAGAGAGATATTTATGTCTCCAAAGCAGCTGTAAAGCCTCTGTTGAGCTGTTTTCCTTTCAATGTGAAACGGCCCCCTCAGCGCAAAGCCTCAACAATACCCACCCTGCTGTGCTGCTCGACACCTTTAAGATTGCCTACACACTCCAATATTATTATAGTTTTTATACACAGGGTTATTATAGTTTTTATACAGTTTTTTTATGTATAATATTCATATATATATACAGCACCTAAAATATATATATGTACAGAGCTCCTGTTCCACAAGATTATAAATATGAGGAATGTGAGGATTATAAATATGAAGGCTAAATTCCCTTAATCATCCATCACAAGGAGTAAAACCAAAGAATATAGTTCTGATGTGCAGAACAAGATTGTTGAGCTTCACAAAATAGAAAGTGGCTGTAAGAAAACAGCTAGAGCATTGAAACATTCTGATTTCCACCATCAGGGCAATAATTAAGAAATTCCAATCAACTAAAGATGTTACAAATCTGCCTGGAAGAGGACGTGTGTCGATATCGTCATAATGCACGGTGAGGAGGAGACTTTGAGTGGCCAAAGACTCTCCCAGGATCACAGCTGGAGAATCGCAGAGATTAGTTGAGTCTTGGGGTCAGAAAGCCTAAAAAAAAAATCAAACATCTCCTACATCACCACATGTTGTTCGGGTGGGTTTCCTCCTCGCTCATCCAGAAACAATCTCCAGGATATTTCGTTGTCAGACAAGACTGGAACTTCAAACAGGACTGGCTTCCATTGTCAGATGAAACTAAAAAAAGAGCTTTTTGGCAGCAAACCCACCAGATGTGTTTGGTGCAAACAGGGATAAAAAGTTAAATACCCACTGTTAAATATACTGCTGGATTTTGAATGTTGTGGGTCTGATTCAGATACATGGCATCATGGATTCTATCAAATACCAACAGATAAATAATCTCAACCTGACACTTCCTGTGTCCCCATAAACCAAAAGGCTTAAAAAACATACTAGATGTTTTATGAAATTTAAAAATTGCCATAGTTTTCTGTGAGGGGTAGGTTTAGGTGTAGGGTTGGTGTAGGGCGATAGAAAATACAGTTTGTACAGTATAAAAACCATTATACCTATGGAGAGTCCCCGTAAACCACATATGCAAAAATGTGTGTGTTTTATTTTATCTGTTTATTTATTTAAATAATTAATATTAGTGCATTTACAGCCAGCTGTGTATATATGTTGATAGTTTTAGTTTAGCCTTAGCCTTTCAATACTATTTACAAAATATGTATATTTAACACTCTGGTGCGCCTTGCGTGGGGAATTTTATGATACTAAATTATCTTTATGCAGTAGTTAAAATCCATTTACAGTATTACCTGTTACCACTTTTTTTAGCAAAGACCTGAAAATGAAATTTCCAACTTAAAAATAAATCTTTAATGCTTTGGAGCACAGATTATAGCCAAAGTGAGGGGAAAAAAAAGTTTCAGAGGTTTGAGCTTATTCTCATGAAAAATGCACAAAAAAAATTCAAAACATGTTTTGCTCTAAAACTGCATGAAAATCAAGATGTGTTCCAAATTTGAACCAAAACGTTTCCACCAGATAAAATTTGCTTTCTATTTATTTCCATTATGGTCATTTTTTACCTCGAGGAGTGCGAGAGTGACTTTTTATCAGTACCATTTAACCTTTTCGAATCATAACAATGATTTTTGTGTGTGTGCTTGTGTGTGTGTGTGTCTGTTCGTTTAGTGTTCACTTAGCAAGTGCCAAAACCTTTACCAAGTTTCGTACCATTCCAATGAAGTAAAAAATTCTACAAAACCAAAATGTAAAATTTTTCTGTCAAAAATGACTGAAGATTTAACACTAATGTATAATATTGTGCTCTGTCCACCAGCCTGACCAAGTTGGGAGACCAACTAAGACCAGCAAACCAGCTTAAACTGGTTTAAGTTGTCGTTTTCATCAGGGTTGGCACTCATTCTATATCCTGCACTTTTTTCTGTGACCATATGTACGCAGTGTTCTTAATCACCCTGTCGGGCCCGCAGGCCTGCATGCTGTGACTCTGTCATGGGGTCTTTATTGCCGTAGTTTGTGTATACGTATATGTGCCTGTGTGTGTGAACATATGTCCACATGTTTGTTCACGCTGAGTGAACGATGCTCCCGCAGGGTCGGAAAAGGATAGCAAATTTAGTGCATCATCAAAAAATCAGCTATTTATTCATAATTAAATAGTTCTTTAGTCTGTTTATGCCTTATTCCACATTTCAATACTGCATTAAATAGACATTTCCTTTGCACTGCTTTTGTACAATAGTTCAGTAATTAAGAACTTAATATTAGGTAACGTTTTAAAAACAAATTTGCTAGTTACAGTGTGAATTTTAACTAGTTTACTAGTTCGAACCGTGCGTTTCATAACGGAATGAATCAGTATTGTGGAACAAATCATTTGAATGAATGACATAAGCCGGTCTTTTGCTTCGTTTCTAACGTAACGATAGTTACTGGTGTAACGATAATATACAGAAAGAATCACTGAACAATCAGTTTCATATTGATGAAAGATTCAAATATTTGATTCTTTATAATGTCAGTTAATGAATCATGCACTGTAATACGTTAAGGAAGGTTTGATT